GACGACGACGACTACTACTACTAGATTAATGCGACAACGACGACTACTACTACTCCTGATACTCCTACTATTATTACTACCACTACCACTACCACTACCACTACCACTACCCCTACTACTACGACTACTACAACTACTACTACTACTACGACGATGACGACTACTACTACTACTACTACTACGACTACTACCAGCACAGCTTCTGCTGTGGCGACTGCTACTGCTACGGCTGTTGCTACTGCTACTGCCACTCCTGCTGCTGTCGCTACTGCTGCTGCTGCAGCTGCAGCTGCAGCTGCTGCTGCTGCCTGCGCCTGCTGCTGCTGCTGCTGCTACTACCGCCGCCGCCCCATCACTACCGCATTGCCAAATACCACGGCCAGAACCGCTACGACGCTGTTGCCGCGACGACCACAGCTTCAGACTGATATCCCTTAGATGACGAAGCACGTCCCGTGACAAGATATCCTTAAGCTGAAGGTTAAGCTAGGCGTAAAGTCGTAAAGGGGCTTTGCGCCCCGTGTTTCCTGACCACCCCTGCATGTTGAAGCCATGGCCTTCGGAATCCGAGGCTGTTTATTACGGCATTCTAGAGTCGAGCCTCTGGGGGTTTCGAGGGCTCCAGTGCAATTGGGTCCTGAAGCAAGCTGAAGTCCTGCCACGAGGTGCATTCCACCTGCCCTACACTCGACGCCAGAGCTGTGGCCTTATCCATGAGTTTAGGATGTAAGCACTAGGGGAGTGTCTTCTGATTTTCATGAGGCTGCTGTGATTGGATATGTACAGAGCTGCAGAGAGTTGGAAGGAACGTGCTCTTGGATGTCCGTTCTATGAGTTTTTGTCGTGCAAGGAATCCACCATGACGTCATTCGCAATTTGTAAGAACTCCAGGTTTGTACATGTATATATATATATATATATATATTATTATATATATATATATATATGTGTGTACAATATTTATGTATAATTAGCATCCGGGTTTGGATCAGTGTTCGCTTGACGTTTGAAGTGAATTGGCTTCAGCTCCTCCTGTCCCGGGGATGATGGGTTGAAGGAACTCTTTCTGCCCCTTGGTTGGTGCTGGGGAGCACAATATGGGAGTTTCCGAAAATGAGGGGTACCTTATTTTGGGGTCCTTATAATAAGGATCCTACTATTTAGGGTACTATATTAGGGTCCCCTATTTTCTGAAACCTCCATATGTCGGGCGCGAAGTAGGTGGGAAAGCCTGCGCACTTTCAGAGACGTAGGGTGCCCTGTTTGGATCTTGGAATTCATTTTTGTTCGGGGGTATGCTTTCCATTCCCGTATTTTCTGGCCCTCCCAAATAAAGAGCTATTCTGATGCTTTGTTTGAGGTTCAAAGAGACGATCAAGTTCTGGCAGAACTGTGCCATCGTCCAGCATACAGAGCGGTCCATGAAGGTCCGTGCTTGTGATGGCTCAAATCTTGCAGAGCTCGGGCAGGTTTTTGAATATCCCGAGCATCCCTAAACCCTCGAATCCAAAAGCTGGACCCTCCTTAAACTCAACCCCGTAAACCCTAAACCCTAAACCCCTAAACCCTAAACCCCGTAAACCCTAAACCCCTAAACCCTAAAGCCCCCTAAACCCTAAAACCCCTAAACCCTAAAGCCCCCTAAACCCTAAACCCCCTGAACCCTAAA